AAAACGGTTCACAAATTATTATCCATTGTCTAATGAGTCTTATATATATAATAATTGGGGTGGCATTTTACCGAAAGTCGATTTAAACCCCCAAAACATGTACAATTACACTGGACACCGTAGAACAGGTCCAAATATAGCTGTAACAAACCATCAGGTCCTTGTGATGAAGGCTAGTTTCGGAGTATTGATAACGAAGCAACACCAAATCCTGTGTTTTAACACGGACTTAGATAATCTAATTCCGTGGATTTAAGTTTATCTGTTAGCATTCGACATCTGTTACCGAAGTCTTGCTATTCGGAGTAAGCTCTTGAATACCAAACCAACCCAACTGCGTCTGGAGAAGCAGTGATATATATGCTACATGTACATGCATTATCAAAAAGATCACGATAGGAAATCAAAATAGTCATGTTTAATGTACAGCTTAGTAGTAAGCTGTCTCTGTTAGACCACAGGAACTTGAATTTCTATCAGAATGGTCTATTTAAGCTCAGAGAACTGATTAAGCCCAATATATACCCCCCCTTACCGTATTTAAGCTCAGAGAACTGATTAAGCCCAATATATAACCCCCCCCCCTTACCGTATTTAAGCTCAGAGAACTGATTAAGCCCAATATATACACCCCCTTAACGCATTCTGATAGAAATTCAAGTTCCTGTGGTTAGACATGTTACAAATAAAGACCGAGAAAAGCGCTTGTTGAAGTGTCTGTAGACTGAACTTTCTTTGATTTTAATTCAGGTTATATATATAAGCGATCGAGGTTGTCAATAATTATGTTGTTTTTAGGGATCGAAATTCGCCGAAATTTTATATACCTCACGTCAATCGGGAATCGTTTACGGAAAGTGCCGACTGTTCCCGATTGACCTCACGTAAGAGCTCAACAGGTACTTTACGCTCACTCACGTTATCAACTCAATGCTATGAATGCGCGACCTTGTGGATGATACAAGTAAACTTGATTTACAATCACTTGCTTCGATATCGTCATTACATATTCCAAGAGTGAAGAAAACGTGATTTAGAATGCGTAACCCCTGGAAGTTTGAGGATGAGGAAACTTAGAGAAAGCACAACGTGTTCTCATAACATTGATGAGGCTTCAACTATCCACCAGATACTGCAGTATAACCATGGAATTAGATTGTTATCTAAGTCCGTGGTATAACGTACACATGTTCAGTAGGGGGACACAATCCTCGGAATTAACGATTGAGAAACATATATATATATTAACTCTGATGTTAATAGTTGGTTCAATGAAATAGAAAAAATACCTGCTAGGTTACTGTTATGAGCTTCTCGAAAGAAAAATTCTTTGCTAAAGAAAGGGGACAAGGAACCTAAAGTAAAAGCTGAAAATTGCGGACTGTAGTGTTATGCAATGTCTGCGAGCTATGAAAATTAACTGATTTTACCCAAGAACCTGACACCCGTAAAAAATAATCAATATCTTGTAATAAAAAACTAGTTTAAGGTTTTTTAAATTTGTAACGTTGATGAAATGTTTTATATGCACATTTTGCTGTGTTTTTGCTGTATATATGCTTCCGAACACTTCAGATATGGAGATTTCATTTGTTTAACCTTTAAGTCTCCTTAAGTTTTTCTTAATGGCCGAAATGGTCATATGGTGCAGTACTATTTTGTTGTAAAATTGAATCTAAGAACGAACTTTTTATAGGTGATTCATTTCTTCGTAGTTTTATTCATTATTTTACCCACCATATGTTTAGAGCGCGGTCGCCAAACTCTAGATCAACAAGCTAGCTTGATTTATCACAAAGTGCCGCAAAATACAGATGTACCTAAATCAAATGGAAATATTTATTCTTTTATAACCTTCATGATTGAAACGGTAACTTACACCGGTACAAGTAAAATGTAAAACCCGAGCAACGAGACTTTAAATAGTAGGCCTGTCCTTGTTTATAAATCAGATCACACACTTGATATTGTGTTGGTTATCACGACTTAGCTTCTGTCTGGTCAAACTGGGGCTACGATATGTACCTAGTTTCTATAAATAGAATTATTTCGTGATCGTCAACACAATGGAGACAGATTTTGCACAATGAATACTTTAAACAACTTTTAGCGAGTCATGAGGTTTAAACAACCACAGAATGATTTCTTCGAAACATTTTCATTGTTAAAACTTTAACATGTAGGTTTTAGGAATAAGTGATAAATTAGGAAAAAAGGTTAACAAAACAAAGGAAGACAATTATTGCAACCAAAGTCGATACATAGGAACATATGCTCCAGTCAAATAACAAACAAAAGGAAACACATCCTGACACTATACAGTTCCAAACTAAGGATGGGTTAAACATTAAGATTCATCACTTATTTCATTGTTTATAATAAGGCTTACACATATAGAATACAATTTATAACGTAAAACGATAAAAGGCATATTTGACAAAAAACCAACAAAAAAAACACACCCTGTTATGACATAGTGTCTAATAAAACTCCCAAACTGATGACATAGTGTCTAATAAAACACCCAACTTTATGACATAGTGTCTAATAAAACACCCAACTTCATGACATAGTGTCTAATAAAACACCCAACTTTATGACATAGTGTCAAATAAAACTCCCAAACTTATGACATAGTGTCAAATAAAACACCCAACTTTATGACATAGTGGCTAAAAAACCACCCAACTTTATGACATAGTCAAAGTTTATAGTCAGAATTCATAAAGCTATGTGATTAATATATTTTATAACAAAGATTACAAACATAGTTGATAATTATATTTACATGCATATCGAATGCATCTGCCGATGACATACTTTATAATAAGCAGGGTCGTGGGTTCGAACCTTACGTGGGGCAGTCGCCAGGTATGACCGCCGGTCGGTGTTTTTTCCCCAGGAACTCCGGTTTTTCTCCGGCGCCAAACCTGGCACGTCTTGAAAAGCACATAAACAATAACATTTTCAAACGTATTATTTAGTTTATTAAAACTCACAAACTCACGACATACTATATGATAATATCCATAAACTTTTCACGTAACCTATAATAAAGCCGACACATGTCATAATTTACAATAAACATCACCTACCTTAGACTTAATTTATACTAAAAAAGTGACAAACAAATAATAATAACAGACTCAAGACATATTTAATAAAAAAACTCATCAATGCATACACATGAATGTAGAAACTAGTTTGTGAAGCGTAGCTCGCAAAGATAGTAAAGATAGCAGACACAATTAGATTGTAGAAAGGGTCACGTAGTTTATAACAACGTTTAACATTACAGGACAGAATATACTGAAGTATATTTAAGTGTACACGGGTAATAGTTGATCATAAAGATAGAGAATCGATAACGCTTACAAACGTACTTCAATGTTTGTAATGACGCTAAAATATGGGACTTACTTTTACAGTCACAGAACAACCGCGCTTGAACCAAGATAGACACACAAGCATACAAGCTAAGTAATTGAGCACATCTGTAATTTTATCCTAAACGTTTACACATAGCATTTTTGCATCGTATCGATAACTAAAATGCACATTAAAGCCTCTCCTTCAGACCTCAGTGATGTATACACATACTTACAATATAAGAAAAACTACGAAAGGAGGATTTTTTTTATAAAAAAGCTCCCAAATATAGCACTACGTGTATAAATATAGCAAAGCTCTCAAATATAGCACTACGTGCATAAATATAGCAAAGCTCTCAAAATAGCACTACGTGTATAAATATAGCAAAGCTCTTAAAAATAGCACTACGTTTATATAAAAGGCTCTCAAACATAGCCCTAAGTCTATAATATGGCATTCAAATATTCTCAAACATCGCACAAAGTAATCCTCAAACGTATATGACATATATATTTAGTACATACTAAAATATAAAGATATAGGGGAGAGTGAAATAAAGCATAAAGGTCAGAAGTTACAGTAAAGCTCACACACCTAGTGTAGAGTATAGGATGTTTATTTTAGTAGCTTACGTATTATCCGACTTAAAACATATTCCGATTTTTCGAAATCTTTGAGTACGATCTTTCCGCATACCAGTTAATGATAAGACTATGGACCTGCCTTCTTTGTTTTCAAACTTCACAAACACCCTTACAGGCGAGCAGCTTTATACATGTATATCTACGGTTGTAAAATATAGTTGGAGAATATTTGTATGATCAAGAGAATATAGATATTTCACTTTGACGATTGTCGTGGTTCTCACAAAACATGTTACATGTACAAAAGAGTTAACAGTCATATATTCCGAACGTCGTTCGCGATTATTGGGAAAGACAGTTCTTATAACTACAGAAAGAATGCGTTTTGTTAGTTTGGTATGGTATGGGGGTGGTAGTGTTCACTGAGGAAAAGTCCATTGTTCTGACATAATCTGCCATAAACGGTTTAACGAATTTGGCCGTATCACAACAATATTCTCCATACTATATGCATTAAAAATAAAGAACGTAAGAATGTTGTTTTCATTTTCCCCAAAATGATTTAATCATTAGGATGTATCCCACTGAGCCTTGTACACAATACATCTTATTTTAACGTGGTTGCGTCAACAAGTTTTCGAATTACCTTTTCTTTTCTGCTGATGATTCTATAAAACACCAGTAATGCAGTTCTCAATTACGATTTTAACTTGTAAAGATACCTCGAAAAATCGTGTTGTGTTGACAGCATGCTATGCAAATCGGCCTAAAACATTTGTCCAAGTTGACGTTATTTTTAAACCCATTCAAAATAAACACAATCTGGGGTCAATTTGATCACGATTTCCTCAGAACTTAAAACTGTATTTGCACATGATTTGTTTGTTGTCATTAATCGTGGATTCTTGCAGAACAGTCATAAACATGTTACCAGTCCTTTATAATTAGTACACGGTAAGCGTGTAATTTGAACTTCCTCACGTGACAGGGTATATATTATATCCAAAGTCACGATTTGATATTGCGGGTGGGTATAAAAGACAGGACAGCCGGGTGAATTCTGTACAGAGCAACGCTACCGCTTAACACAGACAAAGCAGCGACCAACAGTCACAGACCAGATTGCGTCCACTAACAAACTCGAGGTAGCGCGAACCACAGACGAAGCAGCACCCAACAGATAAGGTAAGATAGAGTTAAACGTGTATTTCCGGACAAAAACCACCTGCATAGATGTTTATTGTTAAAGAAATCTCCATCTCGTGTCTATTCATCATGTTTTCATGTTTTCATTTTAACTTAAGATCCTAATATGAATATGAAAATTTACAATTAGTAAAACATCGTGTATATAAAATATTACATTTGTTCAAGTTTCAGTAGCATGATCACTCAAGAAGATTAATTTCGAACCACTGTTGTTTTCAATCTAATTAAAACTTAAAAAATGTATGTCTTTAAACATTTTAAATGACCATTCTAAGGTAAAATATATATATCTATAAAATATAACATGGAATTTTATACTGAAACCGATTAAATATTTTTTTGTTATCTCAACAATGCCGTCATGTGTCTATGTGTTCAGTGAACATATCTGTATCGAAAATCGTAGGCTTAATTAATGTATTTAAATTTTTGTGAATTACACAGTTGATGTAATAATAAAATGCACATTTACATTTACTGTTTGCATACACTGCTTGAGGTGACCAAAACTTAGTAATATTGTTTATGTACTTCTTAGGGGAAGTAGATTTGAAATTAGGTGTGTGTGTTTTATGAGGTGTACAGAGATGAGTAATTTTGTTCGTACACTCTTGAGAGAGGATATATTTGTAAATGTGTGTTGTATGAAAGTGACCGAAAACTGATAGTTTTGTGTATATTGTATGAGGGGACCAGGATTTATTTTGTGCAATATTTTTCGTTAGTAATTAGAATTATGTACTTATGTGGTTATTGTATGAGATGATCAGAAAAAAGTCATTCTAAATAGATCTTTATAGTGCCTAAAATGATTAAAATAAGTGAAATTGTTTTCATTGTAATTGAGGTAGGATAACATGAAAATTTACCTGAGTATTGATTGGCAAGCCTGAATGTGCATTCGTCATTTTATTTTGCAATCGCACATGCAGCAAACATGTTTACCAAGTCCACTGATTGGTCAAAATTTAAAAATTGTTCCAAATTGCTCGAGCTGGTCCAGTTTCCTGATATAAACAGGTGGCCCACGTAAACTAGCTGTTGATTGGTTAGATCGAAATCTAAATATTGTCCAATTTTGATATGTAGACGTATCATGACATCGTAAGGTCTTTCCGATGCATGTTTTTTTATTATTAAAATGGCAGGTTTGGGGACTTTCGTAACAGTCCCTTTTGAAATAGATCTTGTTCTGTAAATACTATGGTGACATTTGGGGTACTATCGTGTTTTGTATATACTTGTGGGACAGTTTGGGGTTCTTACGGAGCGGTCCCCCAGCTATAATTATATCGTATTTTACATATATAATGAGAAAGTGATAACGTTGAATCCACGAGCATGAATATTTTATTTTCAATTTGAATAATCATGAAAATATCGCTCATTTGGATGGTACCAAACGTGTTATATCTTTTATTTTACAGAAACAAGATGAGAGTGATACTGCTTACCATAGTACTATGCCTGATCGTGTCGGCTCAAGCGAGACCAAATAGAAAAAGACGGCAAACTGAGGAAAGACCCTCTATTCCAGATGTTGAGGTCCCGGATGAGAACACTGAAGATGGGAGCACTGAAGACGGAAACACTAAAGTCGGAAACACTGAAGATGGGGAACCTAAAGATGAGAAACCTGTAACGAGACCTGGATCACCTAACTCTACTGATAGGCCTCGCTCTGGTGAAGATGATGATTCTGATGACGACAAAAATGGAAACGACGATGGAAATGATAAAGATGTAAAAGATGATACAGATGGAAAAGATCGTAAAGGAGGGAAAAAAGGTAAAGATGGGAAAGATGGTAAAGAAGAGAAAAATGGTAAAGGAGGGAAAGATGGGAAAAGTGGAACAGATGATAAAGATGGAGAAGATGGTAAAGGAGGGGAAAATGGGAAGAGAGGAAACGGTGGGAGTGATGGAGGAGATAATAAAGTCGGTAAAGGTGGAAAAGATCGCAAAAGGAATTAACAAATAACAATCACTTCAAAATCGGAGAAAGATATTGTCCATTCGGTTAATCGGTTATAAAGAATATTAACAATCTATCTTCCGAGAGGCTATCAACATTACCTCCCGTTAGCCATGACGACACCAATGGAACAAGTGCTTACATATTGTCACAATAATAATTTCAAGTGTAACAACATGTGAAACATCTCATGCAAGAAAGTTTCACAGCAAATCAAATAAAAGTTGAAATCAGTAAGACAGGTTTTGTTATTTGTATCTTTGCCTAGTGGATAGAGCATTCACCTTTAATAAAGACGACCGGGGATCGATTCCTCAATCGGACTTGAAAAGGTATTAGCTATTACAGCTAGTTCATATATCTGCAGTGGCGAATGCAGGGGTGATGCACAGGTTTCCCTTTTTTCTGTTTCCAAAATTAATCCGAGTCAAATATTTTGAGGATTTTCCTCCATTTCAAATACACATGAATGTATTATCAGTTTGCAGCACTAAACATGGGACTGACACGTCTCTAGTTTCTGCTGCATTAATACTGGTTTTTTTGGGAAGATTTTGGGGCTAATAAGTCACCAATACTTTCGGTATAATAAATATCAGTCAACATAAAGCGATAGTTGAACGTGGGATAAAACATTTGATATGTGGTTGTTGCCAAAAGCTGTGACTTGAAATTACTATTTTATAAAGCAAGCCAATAAACAAGGAATATATATAGGGTAATGTTATATACATGGAGCTCCTATTGAACTGATGCAACAGACTGGGCTGTATGGAGGTTTATCGCCAACAACAGACTGGGCTGTATGGAGGTTTATCGCCAACAATAGGCTGGTCTGTATACAGGTTTATCGCCAACAACAGGCTGGGGTGTATGGAGGTTTATCGCCAACAATAGGCTGGGCTGTATGGAGGTTTATCGCCACCAACAGGCTGGGCTGTATAGAGGGTTATCGCCAACAATAGGCTGGCCTGGATAGAGGTTTATCGCCAACAACTGGCTGGGCTGTATAGAGGTTTATCGTCAACAATAGGCTGGTCTGTATACAGGTTTATCGCCAACAACAGGCTGGGCTGTATAGAGGTTTATCGTCAACAGCAGGCTGACCTTATGGAATATCTTGAAATGTATGTGCATAAACACACGTTTTGAAAAGACATGCTATGCTTTTCATAAAATGTTAACAAAAGAGCTAACATGTCCACATTTGAAGAATTATTCAGCCTTTTCTGCTTGAAGATTGAATGACTTGCCTTTGGGAAAGTTCGGACAGGCAGACTTGAGTAAGAAGGGCCCTCGTTGGAATCAGCATAATTGAGAATGCGACGTCATGTTTTCCTGCCAATTTCACGACTTTTATATACTGCAAGGGCTGAACTTGCCCCAACCCGACTTACCCTGGGACCGAACTTGCCCCGGTCTCCCCTATAATCAGCCGCATATATTCCCCATAAATCAATCCTTATAATATGATGACAGAAAATAGGATAGGGCCTTTAATTTTTTGCCAATTCCTAAGCAAGAAAACTCGTAGCTAAATCATGTTTTGGCAACATCCTAAATAAATCTTGTATCCGCCCTGATCAGACCATCCGATGCCTCTGATTTAAACATGAACAAAACACAGTCATTCTCTTATACAATGTACTTATTAAAAAAATCTGATAATAATTTTATTTTACATATCTTATTTATATTAGAGAAACAACCAGCTTTGACTAATTTCATATAACCGACCTTAGTATTATACGTTGATAACGTATAAAACACAGTCGCACAACTGCCATTAACTGTCCGGCTAGCGACCAACCTCACATTGGTTCGTTTTAGTAATGGCGCCCTGTGACCCGCCTTGACATCATACATCTATGTATAGCTTCGATTATTGATTTGTTTTTTAATACATATTATCTATAGAAAGACTGACATTTCAAATAAACTGCACACCTAAACTCGCTCTGGACGCAGGACTTATGCCTCTATTTCTAGTTTGTCAGTAAATTGTGTACTTTGGACGTAATGTGGGGAACGACTTCGGTATATAAGTTAGCTATACTGGAACTGCTGTTAAAGTAGTATTGGCTCATTTCCAAATGATTATTGAAGGTTACCTGACATTCCTTGCTAGATGGACATCTACCGTTCGGTAGATAGTTGTGGTGGTGTATGCACATTTTTGTAATACTCTTTGTAGAAATGAGTGTTTCCTGATATCGTGCCTACTCTTTTCCCTGGCCTATCTAAGACCCTCTTGATAATTTCTGGACCCCACTGCAATAAAGTATTGTATCACTTCTTGATTATTGGCGTTGTGCGAAAAAGTACGAAATTTTTCTAATATTACCTTTACTGTAGCAATCAATATTTTAAAGATTTTTAGAATAAATAATGAAAAAAAACTATTGGATTAATAATATATCAACGATAGTTTTTTTGTTTAGAATTTTGTGTATATAATACAGACGTAATACATGTTAACGTTAACAAAACACAATATGCCGGCTTTGTGATCTATGATGTGGATTCATTATTCACGTGTTACAGGTAACACAGGGATTATCACAGAGTCTTGAATGAGTTACTGATACTATTTAACAACTTTCTTCGTTCATGAAGTCGCGCCTTCTTTATGTATTTATTTTCCAATTTATTCTTCCTTTCACACCTGCCCAATATTGTAGGTGGTCCTGGTTAAACACATTATTATTTGGTACGGTCGTCTTTATGAGACAGTGTTTATTGATTATGGTCGTGATCCTGTAATGACTGCAACTTGGATTCCAGCCCGTTTGTCGCCCTATCTCATGAAAATAAAGATGGAATATAGACTGTCTGTTACGTACATCAGACGAAGCCGTTCTTTAGCAACCTTATTAGCAATTAGCATCAAATGGTTTACATCTGTGGGATTATGCATATGCACTCAAACTGTGCATATTTTTAGATAGCAGTAAGTATATAATTTGCGTATAAATCCTATTACAATATGCTTTAATTTGTTAACAAGGAAATCAATGCCATTTTGTTTTTTAAAGGACACAATTATGACTTTTTCAGCAGAAAACTCAATAAACGTGTTGGTACATTATACAAATACATTTTTTCAGGGAATGATTGCTGATATATATGATCAGTCATTCTTTGATATATGGGGCTATATCTGCTGTTTACACCAAACGTAACAGACAGTAATTGTTTACAACCATATATACAAGTAACTTCTTGAAAAACTTTTCATAGATTTCTTAGTCTCCGAGGTTTGTCGTAACTTTTGTTTTGTTTTCCTTTGTTTTACGCATTATTAATGTGAAATTAGCCATTACTCCTCTAGTTTTTGAATTTCACATAATTAAACGGTTTTATTCATCTCTCCTTCTGTTTCAACGGTAATATTTGTATTTCCATCTTTTTGGCCCCTGAACACACCGATGAGTCCTAGAAGGACGAAAGCTGTATGCGCAGTGTTATTCCATTTTTTTGTTGCCTACTGTATCAATTACCGAAATGTATGGGTGCAATCAAATTTTTGTGAGCCTTTCTAAATACAGCTAGCCGTCATACAAAATTCATCAGTCTGTCGCGGAAGACAAGAGAATGGGCGCTAAGAAGGCACTGAAGTGACCTCTCCTGGGCGCTGGCCTTAAATTGGCGAAATTACATTGAGATCCTGGGATGCCCAGTTGACAGAACTCCCCTGTATCTTGCTGATGTGATCCAAAGGTTGGTTGCAGGAGCTACCAGAACGAAGTTGTAGATAACGACGAACAGCCTTAGGGGTAGCTTACCATCATACAAAACTTCCGACATATACGTAATTTATAACCGTGCAAAAACATGTTGCCAACGAAAGACAACTGAGACTAGCCAAATAAACTGGTGGAAGGGAGGAGACTGTGACAAACCACACGAATTACCACAGTCTGATTAACTGTACGTTATACCAGACAGTAATGAATCCATGTATCACCTAGTCAAATCCTGGGCGGTGATTGGGGTAGAGGTCGGGGGCTTGGGCGGTTCAGGGGGTTCGGATCCAAGATATTTAGCAATTTAAAACGTTTACGGGTATTAACATCACTGTTATATTTTTAAAAAAAAATGCTCTCAACCCACAGGAAAAATTAACATCGCTCAGCATTGAAGAAATAGTTATAAAAAAAAGCAAAATATTACATAATATAACCTTCACATGATTGGTTGTGTTGCTTTTAGAACTTTTACCTCCAATCAAAATGTTTTCATCTTAGGATAAATATTCTATTTCTCAACTAAAAGAAATATGTCGCTTCATTAGTTCAGAAAAAAGGTTGTTTTAAAGCTCCGTAAGTTATACGAGTATATATATTCTTTTTCAGAAAACTTTTATTAAAGTTTCTGTTGAATGGGACTCATTAATGGTTATATTGCTAAAATAGCGAACAAATTAATGAGTAATGGTTTGGTTTGGTTTAATGTCCTATTAATACCTACGGTCATTTAAGGACGTGCCTCCATGTGTATTCATGCGTGTATGTGTGCTGAAGACAGTGTATGTTGGTGTACTTGCCTCCTTGTGATAGCGCGGATCTGATTCCGACGTTATACTGCTACCTCACTGAAATACCATGAAGGCACCCAGCACAGCATTCCGCCTGGTCACATTATACTGGCAACGGGTGAACCAGTTGTTGCCTGTACCCTTAATGCTGAACCTTAAGCAGGGAATAGCAACCACCATTTTAACGGACTTTGGTATGTCCCGGCTTTGGGGAAGAACCCATTGACTTCCTCACGTGGGCGAACGTTCAACATCAAAGTCCAAATTGAATACCTAATCAGTTGAAATTTCAGATCTAGAGCACAGTAAGTCATAAGATATATTTGTATGTGTACAATGTATAATATTAAACTGTATATTATACTCATTGCACGGTAAATAACGAGGGCCAATGTTTTTGTAAAGGAAATGGTAAAGTAGTTATCTCTTTTATCATACCATCAAAATGTTTCATAATTAGATAAAATTAGAACACCTTAATACTGTTGTGGTAATCACGTCATGTATTTACATTATGTATGTTGTATAAATGTAAGCCAAATCGAGGTCATCATCATCATGAAGACAGTTTTTGCAGAATACCTACTTGACAAAAACAACTTAATGATCATGACATGAAATTGTTAAGAGTGTGTTAAAAACAGAATTTTAATATTTTCATAAATATTGAAATTAAGAATTCAGTTTTTAATGACAT